GGTTACCCACATGCTGATTTCTGTTTTATAAAATACTGCTGGGTAAACAGCAAGGGAAACCCCAGCTGTCCCACACCACATAAATCCCAGGTCGCTGTCCTATCTGGTTAGCTGTTTCCCCAAAGAATGGTGCTCTGGCCTCTTAGCAGGCCCAAAGTCTCCCTGCCTGACACCCTGCCCCATGGATACACACCTGTACACACTCATACATACACAGACTCACTCACACACACATACACACACACACATATACACACAACACTTACACACATGCACACAGAGATAAAACATACACACACGGGTGCACACACACACCAGCACGCACATATATGAATATACACATATATACAATGCACATATATGTACATACATGTACGTCCTGAACACACATGTGCACATGGACATCACACAGGGCCCCTGCCTGATCCTTCAGCACTTCCTGCCTGAGGGCTACTCCTGTGTCCCCACCCCTCCGTTGACCACCCTCTCTCAGACCCTGCCTTGTCTCTCTCCCAAGACCTCCAACAACCAGGGCCCAGCATTAACACAACCACTATCCCTCCCCCAATCCCAAGTGCATATTGGGGAAAGCTTCCTTCCAGAATCATCTGTCACTGTGCTGGGAAAGCCAGAACCTGCAGCCTCAGATTAGGAGCATCAGATTTAGGAGAGAAAAAAAAAACCTCTGCCTTAAGTATGCCGATGAGAAAGAAACCCTTCTCCTGGCCTAAACCCATCTCAAATACTCCAGGGAGCGTGCTCAGCCAGACACCTGGCCGGGAAACAGCTTCTGCTAGGGAAGGAGAAGCTGTCGTGCCCCCATCTCCCAGCCTGCCCTGCAGCTCCATGTGGCTCTGGGACAGCGCCGGCCAGCAGGTCCACGGGGCAGCTGAGGGGTGAGACTTGCAGAAAGGCCCCTTGGGAAGGGGAACTCACAAGGCTAGTCCCATGGGGAAACTGGATCCCCGGGGAGGGAGCGACACTTTCAATCTTGCTTTTGGGAAGAAGCAAGCATTTTTCACCCTCTTAAAGAAATGCTCCCTTTCTATCTACCAATTGGGACTGCTCCTAACTGCCTGTCAGTCTGTCTGTGTGCGCCATCCTGGAGTACGGAGTGTCAGTTCAAATTGCTGCTGCCTGCATCTGACCCAGCTCCTGCATCACGTCCCTGGGAAGGCGGCAGAAGACAACCCAAGGACTGGGCCCCTGCCACCTGTGTGGGAGTCCCTGGCTTGAGCCTATCCTGGCCTGACTGCTGGAATCATTTGGAGAAGGAACCAGCAGCTGGAAGCTGCCTCTCTCTGTCACTCTGCTTTTCAAATCAATTCATCTTTTACAAAAGAAACACACACAGTACTGGGGTCCCTGATGAGTCTCAGGAGCTGCTCCCATCCCACCTGTAACCTCCAAGCTTCTGTAAACGGGAGAATAACAGTTCTGTTTGTGGTACTCCCTGTTTGCAGTGGAGTGTTCAGTTCCCCAGTTTCTCACTGACACGAGTTTCCCCAGCCCCATCCCTGCCAGCGCCCGCACACCTTCCTCCATCAGCAGGCCTCTCACTCCCTGTGCGAGGATTCCTGCAGGGGACCCATTTGCCGGGACCCCAGCAAGTGCATGCACCTGCCCTAAGCCATAAGCCAGCACGTTGTGCGAAGCCAGGGCCTCCCCCGCAGGCTCCCGTGTGTATGGTGCTTTTCCATGGTCGGCCTGCAACCTCGGTCACACACACGTAATGACCAGCGCCCAAGGACGAAAACAGACACGTGAGCGACAGCTCTCCTACACAGTTCCATCCGCTCTGTGTCTCCCTGGGGTGCAGGCTTCCCAGGGCACATCCATGACCCTGGGGGACGGATATTTGAGCCTCATCAAAGCCCTGTGGGACCGACGGGCCGGAAAGATCAGCTGACCCCACTCCCGACAAGCCGAGGCATGCACAGTCTGCCGCGCAGGCCCACGGGGCAACCTGCCTTTGTCTTCCAGGGGTTGCTGGGGGAACTGGGCTAACTGAGACACCCACAACTCTGTCGCATCCTCTCTCCTGTGGCCCACGGCTCTTTTGCAGGTACCTTCTGGGTTATTCCTTAAGGCAAAAGGCTAAGGAAAAAATCCTCCTCTCACTGAGACCCCTGTGTGCTGGGCTAAGACAAGAGCTTTCAATGAAGAGGGGACAAGCTCATCCCATTCTACAGATGTGAATACTGAGGCTCAGAGGACAAAGTGAATTGCTAAAGGCCAGACTGTAGATGACATCCAGCGGAAGGACTTGAACTCTCAGCCTCCTGATTCTCAAAGCTGCAGTCTTGACTCATGTACCCACAGAGCAAGGAATCTGGGCATGGATGGGCCATCTTTGCCCTCTGTCCCACTGTTCTGGGTACTTAGGCAAAGAAAAGGCAGATAATCTTCCCCCCACCTGTGCTCTGTTCAGGCAGCCTGAGCTTTCCCTGGGCCATTAGCCTAGGACCCTTACAACTGACTCCACTGACCAGTGTGGAAAGTAAGACTCAGAGTAGGGATGTGGCCTTCTTGCACCCCTACACAGCTATTGCCACGGCCCAGGCATCATTTGAGACCCTCCCTTCCTGATGGCTCTTGGCTGCCTGATAGTCACCTATGTCCTTTGTCTTCTGACTCTGGGGTCAGGGGAAGCCTGGATGGGAATGCTGACCCAGGGGAGGTTGAAGGTGCGGGCGGGGGGCAGGAAGGCCTGGCATTGGAGGGCCTGGGCCGCCTATTGCCTCTGCTGCCCCAGGAGGACCCTGTCAGGGGCCCCAGGGCTGGGCAGTGGAGGGTGGGTGGTGAGGGGTGGGTGAGCTGACGGACGTGGGCAGCTGCAGCACCACCGGGGGTTGGGGGGGAGTCCGGCTCCTGAGCTCGGAACACAGAGCCCCTGCCGCGTCCCTAGCCCGCGCCCTCTTGACCTCCCGGCCCACCCCACCGTGACCCAGGGTCCACCCGTTGCAGGGGCAAAGGGCCAAGCAGCTGGGCCTCTCGGGGATGGGGTTCCCGGGCCAGATGCGGAGGCCGGGACAGGCATCGGGTTACAGTTTGCTGGCCGGGACCCCGAGAGGCTTTCCCGGGGAAGCTGAGGGGCCAGCTCTTCCTCCCCGCAGCAGCGGGTGATTCTTTCCAGAACCCGCAGGAGCTGGGCCAGCCTCCGCCAGGGACCTCCTAGAGCCTCTGCATGGCCTTGCCCTGCCTGTGCAACAGCAGAGGTGGAGGCCACCTGTGGTGCAAAGGGCAGGGGTGCACTCCTGGATCGACACCCCCAAGAGCACCCCAGAGGGGGCGGAACTTCCCTCAGGGACCCCACGCTCGGTGCGCAGGCAGGTTCCAGGTGCCTGTGGGGACTGAGAGAACGCAGCAGGTGGGTGGGGTTGGGGGCAGGGAGCAGGTGGACACAATGTCTGGCGGGAACATTAAGGACCTTATTTCAAAATTTTGCCTTTGTGTCGGGCCCTGTGCTTGCGAGTACACACAAGAACCTGGCCTGGGATCACCTCAGACAAAGTTTCTTTAGGGAGCTCCCCAGTCGAACTGCCGAACTGAAAACCCTAACCACGAAAAGACAGAGGACAGAACAAATCAATCAACTACCTCAGCCACATGTTGGCAGTGAAAAACAGGGCAAACGGAGACTCTAAGATGGACTATGTCAATCAGAGGATTCTTCAGCGACCTCATCGTACTTGGAATGGCGAGACTGGCAGAGATTCATAACTGTTGAACTATCAAAACCACTTGAGCAAGACCCTTGGAGCATGCCCCATGTCTGGGACCTGGGGTGGGTGGGAGACTGGGTGGGGCTTCTCCCTTCATCTCCCCCTTACCCCAGATATAGGGGAAAAAATGTGGAAATAATAGTCTTACCCACTTTCCTGTAGCCCTTGAACCTTTGTGCCCTAATTAACTACATAAAGATTGTTTAAAAAAAAAAGTTTTGCCTTTGCCCTGGAGACAAATGACAGGGGACCCCCTTTACTACACCCCCAGAGGGGAGCGCGGCTCCTTGGCAGAAGGCAGGAGGTTGTGAGCAGAAGGTGAAGCGGGTTGAGTGACTGTTCCTGCAGCAGGAGAGGCGTTTGCAGGACCTCGCCAATCGCTAACCCACGGACCCACAGCAGACCGCCAAGGCTCAACCACATTTCTTCTCATCCACTTCCCACTCCCGCCCGCAGCAGCAGAGGGACCCCCCCCCCCATCACCGCCCATCACCAGCCTTGTCTCTCGCACTCACTCCCTTCTCCACTCCCCGGAATTTGACATTTGATGAATTCTAGATCTGACTGAAGGCATTTTCTCAATCCAAGACTTGGGGAATTTTGTTAACAGGGCAATAAAAATAACTTTATGGTGTTACAGGAGGCACACTAAAACCCGTGTGTGTGTGTGTGTGTGTGTGTGTGTCCATACACACCACTGTGAGTGCTGCTACCTCTCCTAAAAAAAAAATACAGACAATGTTTCTTTAAAAGTCTCCATCTGCAAATCCCATTAGATGTGCATATAAGGTTTCTGGTGATTAATAGTTGCCTCCTCGCGTTTTGGTTGGAGGGGACGAGGTTAACCCCTCCCTCTCCTCTCTCACATTTCACTTCAGAAATTTGTCACTCTCTCCCCACCGCAGGATTTAAAAGTGTGGCTTGCAGCCCCGCACGGCAGCCCCCGGCAGGCATTCACTCGGGGCTGCGGGTCAAGCTGCTTGCTCATCAGCTGGGACAGTGGCCATGTGTAGTGTCCTTGGCGACCAACACACATGCACAGGACCCCATTAAGCAGGCTGCTGTGTCCAGAAGCCCTACGTGTGTGTACACACATTTTGGGGGAGCTGGCCACAGGTGTGTGTGTGTGTGTGTGTGTGTGTATGCTGAAAGACCTTGGACTTGGTTCCTGAGGTGATTTTTTTCTGTTGAGCATTTTAACCTCCAGCTTAGACTTGTGTTTGTATTTAAAAACACTTGAACATAAAGTGTAAACAATCCAGCCCGTGGAAGGACAGAGGCGGCGGGCGGCCAGCAGATGGATCCCGTGGCCAGCAGCTGCATGACCAGCGCTCACCCCCCAGCCTCGGTCTGGGGCTGCCTCCGGAACCCTCACTCCGAAGGCAGTGGGGCCTCGGGGCTGCCCCACTACACCCCGACCCCATTCTCCTTCCATCAGAAGCCAGACTTCCCAGCGACAGCAACAGCAGCAACAGCGGCGTACCCCGACTTCTCAACCTCCTGCCTGGCTGCCACCCCCCACAGCCTACCCCGGGAGGAGCGTGTCTTCCATGAGCAGCACCCTACCTTCCCACAATCCCCCGAATGGCACTTCCCTGTCACGGAGGCCCGGCGAAGGCTCAACCCAGGCCCCATTGGGGGCTCCAGGGAGCTGGGGGCCAGCAGTCCTGGGCTGGTGGATGCTGCAGGAAGCCCTGGTGAGGACTACGGGGTGCTCGGGAGCACTGCCAATGAGACAGAGAAGAAATCATCCACACGGAAAAAGGAGACTTCAGGTAGGTGGCTGATCACTCCTGTGCTGTGTGGCCTGGGGGAAGTTGTTCACCCTCTCTGAACCCAGGTGCCCCGATTATGAATTGTAAAGAGGACCAACCTAGCCAAATCCTGAAGACTCCGGGGTTTCTTCTACTCAAAGTTTCAGGATTCTTTGCTGTTGGTGGACTGAGGTTGTATCCCCGGCACTCTTTGGCTCCAGGAAAGATGTGCCTGTGAGAGAATAAAACTAGATCAGTGAGAAGACCCATGGGACAGAACTTAGGGGTGCAGACTGATAAGGGCTGGGGTGGGGCTCTCCCATGTCTGAGTTGCCTCTGGGTCAGTCTTCTCCCTACCATGCTCTGGGCACAGGGAAGTCCGCCAGGACTGAGGCCAAGACCCATCTCCCGGAGTCCAGAGGCAGAGGAGTAACCTGGGGCTGACCTGGGAGCGAGGAGAGTGAGTGAAGAGGTAAATTTAGGGCTGTTCTCCCATGAGCTGGCACACTGCAGGCCCAGGCCCATCTGAACATTTGGAGGTCTGGCAGCCCTGGGAAGTGCCTTCCTGGGGTACAGGCCTGAGGGGCATCAGTCATGCTGAGCCATGCGCTCCGGGCTTCTGCTACTCACCTCCCGTCAGATCCCCCGTCCGCCCCAGCGTCCTGTCTCCATGCACAGCCCGACTGTCCTTGCTGTGTGTAGAAACCTCTGGGGAAACTTCCCGTGGGGCTAGACAGAGGTGGGCCGAATAGGAGGGTGTCGGTCAGCCACTGAGAACCCTAGAAGTCTGTGGGTGCATCCTGAGCTTTCCAGGGAACCAAAATCCAAGGGCATGGGGAAGAGATGGAAAGGCCAGAACCAGATGGGCCCAGGCACAAGGCTTCCATCGTTTTCAATTTTAGCAAAAACCCAAATGTGTCCCACTGCGTTGTGGCCACTGGCCAATGGCACCATACCATGGAATGAATACCCAGGCCTACCACTGGCACCCCAAGGGACTTCCGGGCTGACCCCCTCACAGATTCCTCCCACGCTTGGTCCTGGAACTGGGGGACTTCACAGCAGGGAGGGCCTCTGGACTGTCCCTTGGGGTTCCTACAGGAGCAGTAGCAGCAGGGAAATCTGTATACCTCGTTGCTTCCTTCTACTTTTGGAATTGAACTAGAGGGGAAGAAGGAGGCAGGAACATGAGTTTTGCAAGAGTCTACAGAAACGGGAAAGCAATGAGTAAAGGTCACCACCAACTCCAGGAACCTCAAATTCCACATCAAAGAGAAAAACTCGGGAAGATTCGCCCCTCTCCACCTCCATCAATCCTAATTCCTCTGGTGGAATCCTCTCTCTGAAAGTTTGAGATTTTGTCCTTCATGAATTTTTATGGTATTGACTTTGATTTTTAAAAAACAATGCATTGAAATCACATGGATCATGATTTCCGAGGTTTCGGTACCCGTTACATTTTTATGCCCAATACAAGTGCCTGCCCTGGTTCAAGTCAAGCCAGCTCTGGAAGGTTAACCAGCAGAGATCAGAACCATGTTTTTGGGGTGCTGCACAGGTAGACAGATAGCTTGTGGGGCCAGCACAGTAATCTTTGCATAACTTTGGGAAAGTTCCTGACTCCTCACAGCCTCAGCTTTCCCAGCTGTGAAATGGGATGTAACGGTAGTATCCTCCGCATGGGGTCACTGTGAGGGTTCAGTCAGTGGCAGCTGCCCATGGCACTGTGCCCACATTTCCTTTGGCCACGTTCAAAATGTAGGGTCCAGCATGTATGCCTGGATTGATGGGGACCTTGCAATGGAGCATTCTAAATCCGCTGTGAGAATCCGGGGTGGAAGTCATGGGAGATTCCAGTTGCTGGCAGTTTGGGGCTCAGAGCACAGGGATTTGGTGGGGAGATTTTGGGGTGAGTGGTGCTTCAGCGTTGCTTTCCATTCTGGGTGACTCCTGAGGCATCCGTGACAAGGTCTGTGATGAGAGATGCACTCTGCACTCCCCTTCTTTTCCTGTCATTCCCACATCCTTCCCTTCATCTCCCTACCCCCAAAGCTGGCTCCCAATGGGTCCAGAGAGCAGGATTCCATGCCCTCTCCCACCCCAGAGCTGACTGGGGAGACCCCATGAGGTGTTATCTTACCCTCACCACTCCCTGACCCCAGTCAAGTGGGTGTTAAAGACCCCTGCTGACAGGGACAGCTGCGAGGCCACCGTTGTTTTTCCTCTGGCTGTCATTGTTGCTACTGTGGTCATCTGTAATTGATGGGAAGAAGGGATTTCACAACAATTTCCCCATGGGTTCAAGGGAAGGTTGCATACGATCAGCCCAGCCACAGGTGGATGGGCTCAGCTGCCTAGGAGTGCCACAGGCTGGCTGTCTCGCTGTCCTCTCGCCTCATGTCCTCGGCGGCGGACCTAACTTCTTGTTGCCTGCCTGTGTCCCACCTGCCTTAAGCTTGGCCAGATACCAATGCTTCCCACCTCAGAGCCCCTGCTGTCCCTCCTGCTCTCCTGAAAGTGCTGCAAGTCTCTGCCTGCCCCTACCCACCGATATGAACTGTTAGCTTCGCCTGGGATTTAAAACCCCACCAAATGGTCCCTTCCCAGACCCTTTCTGCCAGATCTGCAGACCACCCCCCCACACACACACACACTTTCCACTCACCCCATGCACCTGTGTAAGTCCTCAGCACCTCTGGCTTCTCGCTTACCCCTAGCAACCCGACTTTTCTCAGCCTCCGGTTTGCCTAAAACACCCTGCCCTTCCCCCATCCTCAGCCTGTGGAAGTTCTCCTTATTTTAGCGACTATCTCTAAGCCACTGTTTCCAAGAATATCTTCTTTCTTTTCTTAATTGACTAAACTTGTACATTACATCCTCTCCATAAAAGCTACCATCACAAAGTTTATAGCACCTTCTAGAACCCGTACTGATTTTCTGACCGCAGTTTGTAACTCCATAAAGGAACTCTCCAGAGATTTCTTGCCATGAAATGTCTTCTACTTAAAATCCCCTTCTTTTCTTACGGTGGTTAAAAAACACACAACATAAAACTTAACATCTGGGGGCAAGCATTTGATGTAGCAGTTAAGCACTTGGGTTGCCTGCATCCCATATTGTGGAGTGCCTGGCCTGGAGTCTTGGCTCTGCTCCCAGTTCCAACGGCCTGCTAATTCATACCCAAGAAGGTAGCAAGTGATGGCTCAAGTAGCTGGGGCCTTACCTCCCAGATAGGAGACCTGGAAGGTTCCAGACTCCTGGCTTTGGCCTGCAAGTAACATGGCTATTGTAGGCACATGAGGAATGAATCAGCAAATGGAAGATCTCTCTCTGCCTTTCAAATAAATCATCCATGTTGTAGCGTGTGACAGGGCTTCCTTTCTATGAGGCCTGGATAGAATTCCACTGTCTCTATATATTGCATTTTCTTTAGCCATTTATCTGCCTGTGGGCAATGCACACAGACCTTTAGGTATTTTTGTTTGTTTGTTTATTTTTATTGGAAAATCAGATTTACAGAAAGAAGGAGAGACAGAGAAAAAGATCTTCCATCCACTGATTCACTCCCAAGCACCGCAATGGACGGAGCCAAGATGAACCAAAGCAGAGAGCTGGATGGGAAGTAAAGCAGCCGGGACATGAACTGGCGCCCATATGGGATCCTGGCACATGCAAGGCGAGGACTTTTAGCCACTAGGCTGCCTTGCCAGGCCTGATGTGTAGGCATTTCTTTGAGACCATGTTTTTGGTTTCTTGGTTAGATGCCCCATAGTAGAGCTGCTGTAATTCCTAATAATTTCATTTGATTTTTTGAGGAACCTTCACACTCTGCGCCATGGTCGCTACACCATTTTATGCTCTCGTTCTCCATCTGCCCTTTTATTCACATCTTCCTTTTATTGTTATTACTATTATTTTGGTGGCAGTCATCCTGATGGTTGTGAGGTAAATATTTCATTTGGTTTTAGTTTTTCTTTTTCTGAAAATTAATCACATTGTGTATCTTTCCATACACTTGTTGATCTTTGGCGAAATGCCTGTTCACATCCCTTGCCCATTAAAAAAACCCGATTAATTATTTATTTGAAAGAATGATAAACGGGGCCCAGCACGATGGCTGAGTGGCTAAGTCCTTGCCTTGCACAAGCAGGGCTTCCATATGGTGCTGGTTCTTGTTCCAGCTGTTCTATTTCCCATCCAGCTTCCTACTTGTGGCCTGGGAAAGCAGTAGAGGATGGCTCAAAGCTTTGGGACCCTGCACCCGCGTGGGAGACCTGGAAGAATCTCCTGGCTCCTGGCTTTGGATCGGTTCAGCTCTGACCGTTGCAGCCTCTTGGGAAATTAATTCTTAAACGGAAGATCTTCCTCTCTGTCTCTCCTTCTCTCTGTAAATCTGCCTTTGCAATAAAAATAAATAAATCTTAAAAAAAAAAAAAAAGAGGGAGAGAGGGATGGGGAGAGATGGAGACGGAGTGATTTTGCATTCACTGGTTCACTCCCCAGATGACTGCAACAGCCCAGTCTGGACCAGGACAAAACCTGAAGCCAGGAACTCCAAACTGGTTCCTATTTGGGTGGTGGTATCCAAAGGGTCATCATTTGCTGCCCTCTCAAGAGCTAAGTGTTAGGAAGCAGCTGGATCAGAAGTGGGGCAGCTGAGACTCAAATGGGCACTTCAACATGAGGTGCCAGAATTAGCTTAGCCCACTGCACCACAAAGCAGGCATCAAGCTAAGTTTATTCTTAAGTACTGCTTTCTTTTTGGAGGCTTCTGTAAGTGGAATTGCTCTCTAAATTTCCTTGCAGGTGGCTCCTTGGCGGTATTTAGAAAGGCAAATGATCTTGGTGTGTTATTTTGTATGCTGCAACTTTGCTGAATCCATTGATGAGTCTACTTTTCTGCATGTGGAATTTTTAGTGATTTCTACAAATAAGATTGTGTCATTGGCCAGAGATAATTTTGCTTCTTCCTTTCATACTTGGATGCCTTTTGTTTTGTTCTCTTGCCTGACTAATGTGGC